GTGTACCCTTAATCGCCACCGCGATAAATCAGCCGGAGGAAGAAGGAAAAAAAAAAAAAAAGAAAGAAAGAAAGAAGCGATGCTGGTCGTTGCTCGATACGTATCTCGAACATTTTCTCTCTTTTTAAGGGATTTTGGTTTTTAAGAGAGGCGGGGTTTAGACGCCTTCTCGATAACAAACAAGTTTACAAGTATCTTACTTAAGGTGGATAGGTATATATTTCTCCTTCGTTCGATCGGTATCTTTTCAATAAAATCAAGACGCAAGGATCAAGAAAGGAAGAGAATATTCGAATCGATAGGGGGAGGGGGAGGGAGGACACGCAAATAGAGATATATATTTCAAGAATCGCCAATTCCACCGCCACCAAGTACAGTATTATTACTCTCCTTGGCGGTTGTAAAGAAAAAGAAGGGGGTTTCTTTAACGGAGGAGATAAACCCATGAAAAACTAATATCCATAGTTGCCGATCCATCCGATCTTTGGGGAGAAAGGAGGCACACGCCGGACACAGGGGTGGGAGGGTGGGAGGTGGAGCGTTTCGGGAACCTATAAAGGCGTGTTTTACGAGGGCAGATAATGCGATGAAAGATGCGAACGACGTCCAGCCATGCCTAAAGAGTGTGTGAAATCGGGCCTTCCGCCCTTCTTCTTTCACGGTTCCGTCGAAACTCCCCGCGGTTTCGCGGCCTTTCAACGGAGGGTTGAAGAAGGGGAGGGCCGGCCTCGCTCCTACGCCCATAATATATCAATTTCGTATTCTAATGTCCAGCCGGTTAATTCGAAAAGCGTCGACGCTGCGGAAACGTCGTGAACGATCGTGGTCTTGCTCATATGCTTCCCGCATTAGGGTTGTTCCGTGCTTCCCTTTCTATCGCGCGAATAACGGAAGAAGGAAGAGGGATGGGCAGGGAGGGGGAGGGAATAGTTCTGATTCTCATTCGCACCCTCGCCGTCCCGTATATGCGCCGCTTACACGTCTCGCCATCAGCTCGCTCGCTCGCTCGTGTCGTAGATAATTGGGGGAGCGGCTGTTTGCGGCGGTCCCGCAGGGATGCTCTCTCACCCCTCCCTCCCTTCCCTTCCTGAAAACCGAATGACGTACAATCTGCCAAGGATTTCGGCAAATCGTCCTCGCGAAATTGCGAGAGGAAACAAAGAGGAGGGGTTGCGCGAACGGTCAGGAAATGCTATATTTTACGGATTGTTCGTCAACTTGTTGGTCAACCATATATTTCGATCGTTTCTTCAACCTTTCTCGTAAGAAGGTAATGCTCGTCAATTATTTGGCTCGGCCAAATTTCCAGGGAACGTTGTTAAGATTCGCGAATCGCGTTGATGGTTTTTGACATTAGGAGAGAGAGAGAGAAAAGAAAAGAAAGGAAAGAAAAAAAAGCGATGAGTAATCTGTAGTAAAATCCGACGGCGGAGTCGAGTGACGTTAAACTGCGTCGTAGATAGCCGCTTTATAGTCTCGTAATTTTCATCGTAACCGCGGCGGAACGATGCCTCCGCGTTGCTTTGCCCCCTCTGGCCGATCCTTGCGGACGAGAGAAAGAGACGGCGGGACTGGGCTGGAACCCTGGGCCGAGATCGCATTGGGCAGGGGGATCGGGGGATGAGAAAAAGGACGAAAGAGTCCTTGGAGTGGCGCGAACTATTAAAAAGCGCGCGTCCGCTCGAATTCTCGCCGGTAGTAAATTACCCGAAAAAAGAAATAACCGTTGAATTCGACCACTCTCCGCCTCTGTCACCGTGCCGCTCAGTTTTCAACCCCCCTCTCTCCTCCCCCTTTCGCCTCCTTTCTCTAAAGGCCTCGTCTCCTTCTCCCCTCGCAGCCCCCGTTGGGTCGGTCCAAGTGTGGTGGCTCGCTCGAGAGATCGTCGCTCTCTCTTTTCCAGGGTAAAAAACCCTCTCGACGAGGAGCGAGCCGCGGTCTCAGATAAAAAATTAGCCGGAGTTGCAAACGTTTCCACCTTAAATCATATATTTATCGCGACATTAATTCAACCCTTTTAGGTACCCTTTTTTCCTGGCGGCCACTCCGCACCCGGGACCGAAACGCCTCCAACTCATCCACATCCCTCCCTCCTC